CACACACACACACACACACACACCGCCACCCGTTGATCCCCGCAAACCAACCCCTCGCCCCGCAAAACCCCGAAAGCGTACCCCCCTGCCCCGAAATCGCGTCCCGAAAGACCGGAAAACCCTGAAAGCATACCCCCCCGCCCCGAAATCGCATCCCGGTGCATACTGGCCCGGAAGAACAAAACAAGACGATAAACACACACACCCCCACCCCGAAACCGCGTCCCGATGCATGCGGGACCGAAACGACAAATCCCCCCGCCCCAAAACCGCGTCTCAGCGCCTGGACCGACGATAGGCCCACGATCCGATCGTGCCCCCCCCGAGGTGCCACACCAGAGAACCGGGTCTCGCGGGACCGTCACTCGAGACCCGCGTTTTGCTATTAGAGAAAAGCAACTTTGCATTATAAAACCGGGAAACAGGACATGAATGCCGTAGCCGAACCGGGCTGGGAGAGGCACTCCCGGCCAATCCCATCCCCAACCACGGACCTCCCAGAATGAAGACGCCGGAGATGATCCTCAGCCAAAAGTTTTTTGGATTGCAATGCTGCAGCACATCTCTTTTTTTCAGTTTTTTTTCTCTTTTTTTTTCAAGTTTGATTTCGTTTGGGGTGTGGGTGGGGGGATGGTTCTGGCCACTCTGGACTGGACAGCAGACCTGCACATCCAGACCCAGACCGTCTGCGCCGCTGTCCGGACGTCCATAACGTAACCATGATTGGTGGTCTCACAGCCGAGCACCATTTTGCGCCTCTCCACAAACACATCTAGATTCATGCGTTATAATGCTGGTGCCATGTCCGGCAGCAGGTGGAACTTGCCCCTAATAGCATGGAGAGATGGTGGGCCAGCTGACAGAGACTCGGGCTCGAGTGTCAAATAGATGAGGAAGGAAATTCTGCAGTGCCAGAGCGGGCCAGGTCCTGAGCAGGGCCCTCTAGTATGGTCCAATGAAACAGAGACATCAAGAGGGACGCTGGACCCATTTTTTTTTTTTTTTTATGAGATCATATCATCTTTGATCTGATCGGCCCCAGGTAATTCAGAATGATTTTGTTCTGGTCATCTTTTTTTTTTGTTTGTTAAAGAACAACTCTGGTCATCTTGTTTACATTGGGATTCAAACTCGGGATTTCGACAGCTCATGGGTGTACCAACTGAGCTGAGGTCATTGGTGCTGGCCCCCCTCCCTTTCTTTTTTTTTTTTTTCTGCATTTTTTTCTTAAACTGAACACTGGCCTTGGTCAGCAGGGGCCCTCTAGTATGGTCCAATGGAACAGAGACACGAGGAGGGACCGTGGGCCCGTTTTCTAGCCAGTAACTGTAATAACCTCTTCTTTTTTTTTTTTTTTTTTTTTTTTTTTTTTAACTTATGAAGGACGCTGGACCCGGTTTCCGGCAGGTGCACCCCCCCCACCCATAGACTGGAGCCATCTGCACGGCTACCCCCCCCCCCTGGGGTACGGTTCCACTAGCAGGCGGGTAGGGTGTACTGTCAAAGACGAGAACCAGTGTGATCCGGCAGGGCCATTGGTGATGGCCGATCGCACGGCAGCGCCCCCTGCCCCCTCCCTCCTCTTTCTTTCTCTTCCTTTTTAAACTGCCAGTGCACGGCCCCAGCCTTGCTGAAAAGAAAACTCGTCGCCTACAAAATTTTCAGAGGCCCAGCGCCGTAGATAAATGGAATCAGTGCCCCCCGGCGTGTGTTCAAAAGTGTTTTCAAAAGTGTTCAAACGCGCCACGTGGCAGGGGGCGGGAGAAAATTGAACGCGCGCCCCCTGCCGACGTGTGCACGTCCCGTGCCACTTTCATGAAGAAAAAAAAAAACACCATCAACTACCTCCCTCCCCTGGTTTTTTACCTCCCCCCTTCCTCTGTTCCCGCCGTGTGTGAATTAACCGATTCAATCAATGGATTTGATTGATTAATTGAATCTTTTTTTTTTTTTTTTTTGCATTTGTGTGTGTGTGTTGTCATATTCGCTATACACTAAAAAAAAAAAGCATGACTGTGCCAGACTATTTCGTCGGACTTTCACCGACTCATAAGGAGGTTGAACCCCGACAGTCTGCCCAGGATGCATTTGAGTGATGGATAAGGACTCACCACATCACCCAGAGTTAGCGATCCCCCTGAGAAAAGTGGTCGGCTTTTACTCACTGTGTGTGTAACAAGGAATTCGTAAAAAGTAGACTATTTTTTAAAATTGGACTTCAAAGTTTTTTGCATGCAAAATTTGTACAGTATTCTTTTTTTTTATAGAAAAAAACCATTGAAAAGTAAAAAAAAAAAAAGAAATATTATGTAACTCAAATGGCAGCAACATCCTTTAGCATTGTCAAACAAAAAGCCAAAACAAATATTAATTTTTTGAAATGTTGGATACAAATCAAGTGCAAAGACCCAAAAAATATTTATTTTCTAAATATAAAATTATAAATTATAATTATTATGTAACTCAAATGGCAACAACATCCTTTCAGCACTGTCAAACACAAAGCCAAAAAAAATATTTACTTTTTGAAATGTTGGATACAAATCAAGTGCAAAGCCCAGAGATTGTTTATTTTTTAAATACAAATTATAGTTGGCAGCAAACAAACTTGAACCTTGGACCGTTGACATAGCTACAGCTATTGAAAATGACATCTTCCCACCAGCAGCAGGAACTTTTCCAAACCTCCTTCCTTTAGGAACCTCTGAGGTTTCCCAATATGACCCAACGAAAATAAAAAGCAGGAATATTTTTTGCAGCTCCCTGAGCACGACAAAAATCACATTGGCCCAAAGGTGACTTTCTAAATTGGGAACCAACTAGACGCGGGCCACCTAACTCTGGACCATTTAAATGGGGATTAGAGAATTTAGGACATCTGCTCGAAAATGGCCTCCTCCTGCCAGTGGACAAGGACTTCCACAAAAATGGAAGTCAAATTTCATGCAATAACTTTCCCAAAAGGAAAAAGTCCACTGGACCTTACAAACCAGGGACCTGAACCACCAGCTCTGGACTGTGTTCCTGGCCATGTTCTTATCGTTGAGCTTTGTGTGGGCGCACTTCGCTAGATCATGTTCGCCATTTGTTTGCATGCATGTTTGGAAGCGAGTAGTCTGATTTCAAAACAAAAAAAACAAATAATAAAAAGTTTGTGGACTGTGCAATTGCTGAGCCAGCTGCCTGACCTAGGCCTTGAACTTAAGGAAGACCCTGAACTTGAGCCCGAGCCTAACCCTCTCCTTGTGCCCGAGCCAGACCATGACCTTGAAGTTAAGCCTGACCCCGAGCTTGCATGCCTGACCCTATCTCTAGCATGAGCGTGACACTCACCTTGAACTTGAGCATGAACCTGACCTTGCACTCAAGCCCAAACCTGACCTTGAACCCAAGCTTGACCTTGAGAGCTTGCACCCAAGCCTGACACTCGATCTCAACTCGGTATCGGAGCTCAAGCCTAGACCCTAAACCCTAAACCCCAGACCTTAGCAGAGGGCCATGAGCATGACCCTCACCTTGAACTCAAGTATGCCCTGACCTTGCACTCAATCCTGACCCTGACCTCGAACCCAAACTTGACCTTGAGAGCTTGCACCCAAGTCTGACACTCGAGTTTAACGTGCTATCGGAGCTCACGCCTAGAGCCTAGACCCTAAACCTTAGTAGAGGGCCGACACTCCTGTCTCATTTAAAAGACCGGATACATACAGTGAAACAAACAAAAACCTCAAGTACTGAGTTCGAAACAAAATGGTGTTTGCTGAAAAATATTTTTCTTGAAAACATTTACTGCATGACCTTTTAGAATTTTAAAATAATTATTAATTTAAGGAAGAAAACCTGACAGATTGTTTTAGCTGTATTGGGTGGTCGAAAATTCTTTTTTCAAAAACACTAATTGCATACTTGCAAACTGGACAATTTTTCAAGTCCAGTTTTCACGAATACCTTGTTGTGTGTGTGTGTGTGTGTGTGTGTGTGTGTGTGTGTGTGTGTGTGTGTGTGTGTG